TTAAACCTCTTCACGCTGAAAAGTGTGAAGGACTAAAAGACCACACACACTAAACAGGACTCAAGACGGCGAGATACTTCGCCAAGCCGGTCAAGCTCCAAGGACGCCTTGACCGAAGGCACGCACACTGCCGCTTTTGTGAAGGATGATGTATGCACCTCCGTCACGCTGACTGACATCGCCGCTCGGCCGTTGTAAACACCCTGGGGCTTGATGTGGCATTGGCTTACGGTGTCGGTCTATACAGCGCTGTGTGTACGTTCTGCTGCGTGTGATGAACCACACCCGGGTTTGTTCCAATTATCCAGTGTGGGGTGCTTAGACGGTTTTCTCGGGCTCTGCGCGTCGTCACCATTGTGTGGATGGGGTCGGGGCTCAGAGAACCAGCTGTCTCGTAGTGTTCGTGACATAAAAAGATTGCTGTTGTGGTGCGTGATAAAAACTACGTCAGCAGCTTGTTTTTCCTTCCCCGACGTCTGGGAGACTTCACGCACCCCTTTTTTGTGTTAGTGCACACATGGTCAGCCAGCGGCGCCCTTCCAAATGACGTCGATGTCGGTGGCGGCAGCTCTCGTTAGCCCTCCTCGCAGTGTGTCACTGTTTACTGACAAGGTGGCGGTACGCGGTCTGAAGAGTGGCGCTGAGTCGGCGCGGCCGCCGCCGCTGGACCGCCGCCGGCTCCGGTTCCTGGGATCCGCTCAGTGTGGCGCGCCGGCGGCCGTTGCCGAGCCCGCGCGCCGCACGGGGTCGCCGGGCTCAGGGAAGGTCGGCGGGGCGCGCGCTCCGCCGCACTCAAAGGCACTCAAGTTGTGCGGTGTGAGATGCCCTAAAGTCCGTCCCGCGCCCTGCGCTACGTTACTAAGGGGAAGCTGCCGTCGTATCGGTCCGCTGTTGGTGAGGTTTGAAGTTTCGTCATCTCTTGTGAAGTTCAGGCCCCAACAAAGTGCAGAAGTACCTTTAGGGCTTTCAACGCCTGCGGGATGCATGTGAAAAACGCTTTAACATGGATATCGTGAATTGTGCGTGTATCAGGGATGAGGACGAAGCCGGGTTGGGCTTTGGCTTCGCCTAGCCAGTGTTTGTGCACTGGGTTCGAGTTCGGCTTCGGCTTTGTGCCATGCACAACAGTTGACTACGGCTCCAGTTTTGTATCATTCTTAATAGCTGGTGTTAAGATCGGCTTCGCCTTCGAACATTTTTGAATGATAGCTTCGACTTTTGCTGCATGGGATCTTGAGTTACGGGTTTGAATATCCCCATGGCGATTTTTCCACTGCAATTGCGCCGTTGCCTTATAAAAACAGTGTTGTTCCTCCTGTCACACCCCAGAGCACCACGTCGTTTTTAAGGCAGCGGTACAGACGTGGCTGAAAGCCAGAAACTAGCCGATCGTTTTCAGGGACGCTTAGCACTGGACGACAGGCAGAGAACTAAATGTCCGAGACGTTGTACGCATACAGGGCGTTTCATGGGAAATTCAGTTTTAAAAAGTTTGTTATGATATTTGAAGATTTTGACATGTGTCAGTGCTCATCTGCCAAGCGAAACGTCTCCATGGCAGCCCTCTGAATGCGAACGCACTTCTCCAAATCCTAGAATGGCCCACACCTATCAAGGTCTTGCAAATGGATATCGTTTTCAGCCGCTCAGCGCGAGGACCAAGGCCTGCACCTCTAGTGTCCAGGCCACACTGATCGCGTGAAAGAAACCAATCAAAATTCTCGGCAATTGTTAGTAATCGCTGCCAGATAGCACGTGCCCGGCTGATTTTAGCATCCTTGCTTGCACGTTTAAAATGGACATTCCACGTTAACACGCTCTATAGTAGCATACAAGACGAGAACAACGGGTAAAAAAATATTCCCTCCGTCATGTTAACACCTCGTCCCAATTACGCGTCAAAATCCTGATGCTTTTTTATTCCATACAGCCCTAGTTGGGGCGAAAATATGTTCTCATCACAAAACAAGGTTGCACAATATGTTTGGCTCCTGCTTCGGCCTCGTGATTGTTGAGGCTGCTGGCTTCGGCTTCGGCTCCGTGTGTACAAAATTCGAAGCCACTAGCTTCGCGTTGGAAAAAAACGGAAGCTACTAGTTTTGGCTTCGCAGTTCCAAACTTCAAACCAGCTCCGGCATCTAAGTCGGATTCATGGCATTGTCTTGGCTTCGGATTTGGCTCGTAACCCCAAGTCACTCCCGGTCGAAAATTGTGTTGACTATGTCAGCTAGATCGAAAATACGTCTGTTGCCATCAACATTTTTTCTAGGATAGGAATGATGCCTTATCGTTACCGCTATTTCCCGTTGCGTGACCCATGTACTTGTTTTGTAATGATTAACCGCGTACCGATCGGTATGAAGGGAAGCCCGGAAACTTTGCCCTTCCGTCTGAATGCAGACTGACCGTCACACCACTGTTTGCCATGGTGTGTTGGGCCGCGTGTCCTTTCGTTGGTACCATCTCCGTTTCGTTGTTTTGCCTGCGACCGGACTGACGCCCAATGTGGTTTTTAAACAGGATGTATGACCGTGCATGGTTTGCACTGAATTATTCGGGCAGGCCATCGCGTCCGCCGTGCGCCTGACTGTGCCAGTAGACCCGCCACGAACTTAACCGACGTCGGCAAGAAGCTCGTCCGGAGCAGATATGTGATCACTCTGCGACTGGGCAGAGTGATCACATATCAGAGATGGGCTAGGTGTCTAGACAGATTACAGAAGTGCTCATAGCTCAATGCCCTGTGGTGGAGCTGAACACCGCGCCGTCCCGTTAGTCGAGCTGACTGAGCGCATGATTCAGGACACGGCGTGTGGCGGTCGATATAATTGAACTGCGGGAACCCGTGTGGCTGCGAGCCTCAACACGGTGCGAAAGGCCGCTGCCAGCGGGCAGAAGGCCCTGCCCGGGAGCGCGACGGCCGTGTATGTACCGTCCGAGTGGCCAGCCGCTGCCGTGTCGTGTGGTCCGGCGCTCTACAGCCCCTCTGCGGTCTCGTGGGGTTCAAAGGGCGCGGGAAAATCCGATGTCGTCCTGGCTGTTGGGGTCGGCCTAGTTATAGTTCGGCCTTTTAAAGTAGAACGCGTATTCCATACCTAAGTGTGCGTTTTTCCGGAGCTCATATGATTAAAGCTGCATCGTCAGCTGACCCTATGCATTAAGTTCTCTCGTTGTCGCCGTAGATCGACTTCCTGCACGCTCTGTTCGCCGGGTTACCACGCCGGGGATCACGTGCTCCGACGACCCATTGGCACTGCAGGCAGCTGAGCTCGAGCGCGGTGACGGCGCAGCATGCAGCGAGCTGGACAGGGTGTCTCGAATTTGATGCACGGTTGTATTGTCCTCAATAACAGAGAAATAATTGAGATCGGTCCATGATTTATTTGCCAATGTAATCCCCACGGAATCGTATACACTGCCGCATACGCTCCGGCATGCCGCAGCATCAGGTTGTCGATAGTCTGTGTCCTGACCCTTCGCCACGTCGCTTGCACGTTCTGAAACAATGTCTTCTCTGAAGTGGCCGGCGACATCTTGCTGAGCTTCTTGACGATCGCCCATAGATTATCGATCGGCGACATGTCGGGGCTGTTGCCTGCCACTTACCGCTCTCCCAGAAGCCCGGGAAGTCCGCATGGCACCAGTCCTGGGTCTTCCGGGCGTGATGAGCTGGAGCGCCGTCCTGCTGGAAAATCGCCCTCGACATGTCTGGCAGAAGTTTGACCTTGGTTGGCGGGCCATTCGCCTTCCTCCGCTGCATCGCCGAGGCTGCAGTCTTGCGCGGGAATTCGTGTGGCTCAGAGAGGCCTCTGTAGCTCATCATGCTCCAGACAACAGTCTTTAGCCTCCTTTAGCCATTTTAACTGTTTCACTGTCTCGGCGATCGGCACCTCCGAGCTGTTGTTGGCCCAGACGCGGTCGGTCTGGCCGCTAGGGGCTTGGAAGAGCTCGAAGGGCGACTCGTCGCTGAACAGGACGCATCTCCAGTCCTGAACGGACCAGTTCTTACGGGTCTTGGTGAATTCCAGCCGCCCCTGCTTTTGGTCCACGGTAAGCCTTGGCTGCAACCTGAGCTTGAGCGGCTTCAGTTGCAGGCTGATCTTCAGATACCGGTGAACGGCCGACTTGGAGGCTGTGTGCTTCTTCGCCGTCAGTTTTCTCGCCAGGGTTGTCGTCGAGTGGTGCCTTTTGAAGGCCGACTTTGCAATGAAAATCTTCACCACCCGGCCCAAGGCCGACTTCCGCCCACGACCTGTGCGGTTTCCGAGCGTCTCTCGTGAGCGGTCGCGGGCCAGCCAACGCATAATCGTCACTGCGTTGACGCCCAGATCCCTGCTGACCTGAACCTGGGTCATGCCGCCCCTGACCATCCGAACCGCGCGGTAGCGGATCGATGGCTTGTGCTCTTTCACCATTGGCGATATGCGGACCCGATGCGGTAGCGGATCGATGGCTTGTGCTCTTTCACCATTGGCGATATACAGACTCGACGCGTCGGCTACCTCGAAAGGAATGACCTCTCCCGCCTCTACCGGCCGAGGTCAGGCCGGCCGCTAAGGCCATGTGATCGCGTGTCACAGCGGGACGCCCTGGGGCCGAGCGCAATACAACTCTCAATCGGCGTTCGGGAGGGGCGAAAATGATAGGCGGCACCAACCGCGTATCAGTTTCGGAACACCATTGAACACGACGTGACTGGTCACTGACGGAGGGACTGTACAGCACGGCGTGGCTGGTCACCGATGGAGGAGGGCGGCGGAGGGCACCGGCGCGCGTCGATGGGTCGATGTCGGCCGCAAGACCCCGGTCGGCCATGGCTAGGACTGAATGGTCCGATTGATCGCCCGCTGGCCGTGCCCGCTCCGGTGCTCCGGTTCTCTGGCTCAGGTTCTGGTACTCCAGCGCTCCAGCTCTGTTACGCCGGCGCTCTGGCTCCGGCTCTGGTGTCCGCTTGCGCCTCCAGTTGCGCCCCGACTGACTCAGCCGTTCGTCTGCCGCAGATCGCTACGTGTACGTCGGCAAGCTGCTGAAGCCGGGCGAGAAAGGCCACCGAGTACACGGACGACGAGCACGACGAAGCGCCGCCGCCCGCCGACAAGAAGCACGACTGAGCCCCGGCCCGTCACCCAGTCGCCCTCGGCCGCCGCCGCCGCGCCGCCCGCCCCATGGCCGACGCGGGGTTTTAATGCATCGGCATTTTCACTAATACGCTGTGACTTGATGTGGCATTGGCGTGGTGCACCGTGCCGGCCTGTCCAGCGCTGTCCGGGCCGGATGACGGCTGCGCTCTGCTGTGTCCGTGCCGTGTCCACTGAGCGCTGTCCGACCGCCCTGGTGTCCGCGCTCGCTGGGTCGTGTCCGTGTCCGACCGCCGTGGTGTTCGCGGCCAGCGGGGGCCGTGGCGTCCGCGCCCGCTGGTTTAAAGGCAGCGCCAGCTGCGGCCGACTGCGTTTTATGAGGCCCGCGCTGTTCGCGGCGGACGCGGCCAGGCCAGCCCGCCGCGCCGCCCCCGCTTGTGCGTTCTGTGTGCGGGCCCAGCCTGCTCCGGTTATCGTTCGTTGCGTTCTTTATCGTGTTCGTTTGGGGTTGGTGTGGCTCATCGGGACAATCGGCTCTGTGGTGGCTGTAGGCCGACACGCCGGCCGGGCCCGCCGCCGGCGGTCGATATTAATCACCGGAGTCGCGGTGCACGTACTTTGCAGCAAATATATTATGTACCGAACTGGGTGACCTGTCGACGCACGGTAGCGTACGGAATGCGGACAAACGATGCCTGCCGGATGGCATGGATCTGCTCGAAAATGTAGGGTAATACAGTTAATGCAATAAGCCACTGCACGCAGGTTTGCATTTATCTCCATGGATACTTCACGCCGGCACGTTCGCCCGCAAACCCTGGCGGACTCCGTCGCTGGCAATGCTGGTGGTTGTGCGTGACTCGAGTCAGATTAATGATTGTTTTGCTCGCAGCATCTGGTTGGAATGCGTTTCGATGTGGCTATAGCAGGTAACCGAAGCTGGTCCTTCGCTCGAGCCCCGGGTGCGTCATCCACCTGTCCGGGCCGCTGCATATGCCAATGCTGACTACCCAGCGTGCGCAACAGGACCGTGGTCTGAAGACCATTCCCCTCCTTGTTCGCTCCTCGTGGGATTACGGGGTACGTGCGAGGCGAAATAGGAGTATCACCGCCACTCGGCCCAAAGTTGAAAGCCGAACAAGTATATCACAAAAAGTACTCTGGAGTGCCTATGAAGACGGGTAAGGAGCTGCAGCGAGAGGAAAGACAAAAATGTGAAATTTGTATCCCTAGCCACTAAGTTTTCTTGATCGGAACCGCGGACTTCGATTATCACTTCATGTTTCAGTTTGTCAATATGGTGCATTGCAAATTAGCATAAAATGTTTACCTTGTTTCGTGAACCACTGGACATGCTCCACCGTTGGAGGTAGGTGTAGATATCATCACTGGCCAATCTCCATTGTCAGTGTTGAATCCGACGTGGCTGGTTAGGAATGGTCAGTTGCTATGATTTGGCAGTACCTACGTCCAGGTGCTGCAACTTTGTGATTCCAGCGACATGAAGAGCCATCTTTATGCCGTACTGCGAGGCTGGCTACTTCAGATAACACAAAGTAGGGAACTCAAGATGGAATATTGATGTATTTTGCCTGTACATCGCCCGTAAGCTGTCAGTGTCGTTTGTGAGGAACATTATGCACATTGATAAGAACGGTAGTGATAGCCCTAGTTCCTCGGAGAAAAAACAAGAAAAAGTATATCCATTCTGGTTTTTCTCCAAGGAATAAGGTTTCAAGAACTGTCGTATGTATAAACATCGCCCGCCTTGTTACTTCTAACAGGATCCTCGCACCATATCACAGGTCTCTTGCGATGGAATCATTTCGTTCACGAGCAACTGTGCAAGTATTCGCTCCTCGTGTGGGGCCCGTGACTCCTCGCATTGGAACCCATCGTCTCTAGTAACAGACATAAAAAGCTGGCATGCTCTTGTCTATTTGGTGCCGCTCGAAGAGGCACATTGAGTATTTTTGTTACACAGAAGTTGTTTGCGAAGGCTAGGCCTGAACGTTGTGCGCAGTGGGAGATGGATGCTGTGTGGGTGCTACATTTGTTACAAAGTCGTTGAGGACCGTAGCGTTACGGCCGAGCTCAAAGCGCCAGGCAATATTTGGGAGCGTTTGGAGTTGTCTGGCGGCTGAAAAGCTGTCTTGTTGAGCTCATGCTTTTTGTATTCGTTTTAGAAGGAAACTGAATGGGAGTTCATAGGCTGGCCCTAACCTCCTCACCTAGCAAATCGCACGCGGCCATATTCCGGAGGGTTGATGCCTCCCGACCGCATGCCGCGACCCGACAACGTCGCGCCACGTTCTGTCAGCCGGCAAGTTGGTTGTATTGCGCATTTGGCTTGTCAGACCAGATGCAGTTTGCCAAATCAGCAACCATTCCAGGGACACTACCGGGCCATGCAGTGGAAGCGCCTGAAGAGCTCAATAACCAGCAACCCAGCAGCCGAGCAGGCAATATTTGATGAGCCCAATTCGAAAGCGCTGGATTTTTCCCACGGGTCCATCGCATCTATGCTCGCGAGTTAGTCCGCCCCAGCGTCTGATGAGCGGTGTATTGGACTCTGACTGGAGTCCGCTCGGCGGCGGGGACCTGCGCCTGAAAACGGTCGGCCCCCCGCGTCCCCCCCCAAAGTCGGTAGGGGTCAGCGGTCGGCGGGGCCGCCCGGTCCGCCTCCGGGCCCGGTGCGGTCGGCGGGGTCGCTCGGACCGCCTGCGGGCCCGGCGCGGCCGGCACGCCGCTGCAGACGGTCTCACACCTGTGCAGCGGCGCCACCAGGCCCGTCGCCGGGGGAGGCCTGGTGCAGGGCGGCAGCTGCTCTAGCGCTTACGCGTCCGCCCACGTGTCTCTAACTGCCACTCCCGGAGAACGTGTCGGCGAGGGGGCGCTGTTGGTGGGCTTCCCCGCCCGCCCGGACAGCTGGCCACCCGGCCAGGTTTTTGTCGAGTGGGGTGACCGGGACGGGCGTCGGGCCCGGGCCGCGGCCGACGCCGCCGCTCCGGGCCGGCGGTTCGATCGCCGCGGCAACAAAGTCCGATGTGCTGCCGCATGGCTCCGGCACTGCACGACCATAAGAATGGTATACTTGTGCACACAACGCAACCTGCCCTGAGCCGTTATCGACGTCCCTTGGATGCGGCGACGTCCGCGGATCGCCTGTAGAGTGAAGCACCATGTAAATACGTGAGAATGCCACAACCAGCTGCTGTAACCAGGCATGTCCGCTAGTACACGTCAGCCACCACTTGCGCGGCCCCATGGCACGACGGGTAGCACGACCTGCGCCGTCTGACTGCGGTGAGGCGCCCCGCACCAGCGCGCCGTGCGCAGACAGCCACGATGGATGCCTCCTCGGCAACAGCTAAAACGGCTCCCGAGCACGCGAACGGGCACGTTTATTTGCAGGAATGAAACGCACGGCTGCCGGACCGGACTCAGCCGTGTCACAGAGTCTGCGGCCGGCGCGACCCGCACAGACGCCAGACGGAAGGCCGGCCAGACATGAGCGCTCCGGCCCACCGCGTAATACCACACTGCACGGGACTAGACTGAGACGTGGCGGCCGTCGGAGGGGAGCGCGAAAATCGGCCCGCTCCGGCGAGCCACGCGGTGACGGGCGCGGCGCGGCGGCGGCGGCGGGGCACACGGCCTGGCGCGTCCGACCGCGCCAGGCCGTGTGCCCCGGCAGGCATCGCGACGCACGGTGTGATGCCTGCCGGCGGTCCGGCGCGAACCCGGCCGGCACGCGGCGGAGAGCTCCACAGACGCCTCTCCGCACTAACTATTGCCTGCCTCTCAGATCGTTCGCTGCATCCCAGAGTCCACCAGCCGGCCGACCGCACCCGCACATGGCGCCAGAGCGGCGGCGCACGCGCCAGCGTCGCTCTCCGACGACGCCTGGCTTTACCCCAGCGCGCGAGCGCCGCGTACGGAGGCGGTAATTCGATGAGCTTAGGAGACATTGGGCTACACCACGACATTGCTGGCAAACTGGAGTACAACTGATTGACAAAGAACGCACCGCGCATTTGACGGCCTTCTCCACAAGTCGAGATCCGGCCCTCGTGTCCCCACAGTTGATTGCAGTAAAGATGACATGACGACCCAGTTAACTAACGTCCATGTGCGTTACGGAGTATGAAACAAAATACACGCATGCGAATAACTGTGCATATGACACGAAATCGCTAGGACGTCTGACAACATATCACGTGATCGCAAAGATTACGCAGCATCTCTTATCACACTGAGTGATTTACGCAGCTCAAGTGCGCGGCAATTAACAACTCCGCCTCGGGTTATCGTCTCGAAATCGACGCGTACTATCAGCAAATGGGAACAGATGACAGCAAGAACTATGCCTCCTGACAGCGGCACAGAATGCTGGGAGACTCACTACGTGGCCACGATCCTCATCCAAAGCTCGCCTGTCTCCATGACTTGATCCCAACGCCGCGCGCTCTCTACCCACCCCCCCCCCCAATCCTCCGTTCCCCAGCAGACCCCCACGAATCGTGCGTGGACAGACCAACGAGCGGCGCGAATGAGGAAAAAGCTGCGTCACAGCCCGCCAGTGCCTGCTCCGGGCCGCGGTGCGCCGACCGTTGAGGGGCATGGCCGCGGGCTGTCCGTCCGACGGGGTCCGACAGGCGCTGCGGGCGCCAGAGCCGTCCGCCGCGCGCCCGCCTCCGGCGGCGGCGGCGCTCAGGCTTGCTGCGGCACGCCGCCGCGCGGCGCGCACGCCTCCTCCAGCCGGTAGACGGCGCGCCAGTCGGGCGGGCTCGGCTTGCACACGCCCACACAGCGGCAGCCGAAGAAGTCGACGGCGTTCTGCAGCGGGCCGCGGTCGAACGGCGAGCGGCGCCGGCCGGCCGCCTCCGCCGACGCGAAGTGCTTGTACCGGGCGGCGTTGATGCGCTCGTTGGTGGTCATCGCCAGCCACGCCACCTGTCGGTGACACGGCCACTCAGGTCAGAGTCCTACTGAGGCCAGGTCGAGGTCCAGGGTCACACTCAGGTCAGACAGGAGAAACGCAAGCCAGATCGAGGGCAGTGAACACACAGATCAGGCAGGAAGCAGGGTCTTGCAGGGTCAGGATCAGGGGCAAGGAGCAGGGTCAAGATCAGGGTCAGGAGCACGTTGAGGCTAGGTCCCGTTGTTTATGGTCACGCTGCGACTACATTGAGGTTGGGATCACACCTATGAACTCCGGGTAACCTCTGGACGTGACACATCTAAATGTTCGGGTCACGCACAGAGCACGTCATGTACACATAACATAAACAAGCAGCGATGGTGGCAGCGGCGGTACGTGTCCGCACGCTGCAGTCCCCGTCTTCTGCTGGCAACTGCACCGGCTTGCGTCAACCAGCCGCTGTCCGAGCCGGCGTCGGGCGGTGAATCACAGCCGCCCCGACCCGTCAGCTGCCGCGCAGGTCACGGCCAGCCTGTGCAGTGCGCCCGATAAAAACGCTGGGCTCAGGTGTGCCCCGCAGCAGCCGCCGACGACCTGACACCAGATGTTCACGGCGGTGACTCACGCCCGCGCTGCGCGCTTTCATTTACAAATTCTCGCAAAGCGTGGTATGTTGGGACTGTAGATGAAGATATTCTGGTATCAGTATCAGTACCGTCTAGGCACGAGAGCATGGGCTCAGAGCCTGCAACCTTCTGTCGCCAGCACAAATATCGACCTTTAATGCACCCGATGCTGGTTGACATTTCCAGTGCACGATAACACCGCTGGTAGCAGTGCATCCATACACCCATCCAGTACCGCTGGTACTGATTTTGCACTGCTGCCCTTGCCGCTGTGACAATCTTGCCGTGTAGTTGAGCACATCGACAGTACCTGCCTGAACCGATGCTACGGCTTTTCGAAATGCACTGCGACAGCAACCGTGTGCAGTGCGACGCAACGTAACAATGAGAGGAAAATAGCTCAAAGATTAGAGGGCTGGATATGCCATCCGAAAGCCAAGGGTTCGACTGATCGGAATAAGATCTTATCTTTTCCGTGCCTGCAAGACGAATCAGGCTTATGCATGCAGCAGAGCAATGCTTTTCTTCACGGCGGAGTATGGAGACAAAACACCACACACATCTGGTGCTGCCTCAAAATATCAGATGGGGATGGATTCAAGAATTTCTCAACAGAAGCCCCACATCAACAATGTGTCATTATCACGTAGCCGTTAAATATGTGCACATACGCAGTTCGAGACCCGTGTGTAGAGGCATCTTGACGGATTAACGATGGTCATTCGTCCATCCAGAGCGGGAACAGACTCTTGTGCCGTTCACTATGGGCGCAAGAACCGCCAAATAAATGTCAAGGGCTATATTTCATCACCAACCAGATTATGGTCACGCTAATTTTTGGCGGCGATACTACGAACGGCATCGCCGCGATGACGTGCACGTGCGGTCGGACGGAGCCGTGCCCGGTCCGGCTCCACCACAAGCCCGGCAGACGGCCCCGAGCGCGAGCGCCGGCCGATCGGCCCACTGACCTGGTACATCTGGCAGCAAACAGGGCCGACACCCAGACGGCGTGCACCAGCGCGTTGAGGGCGTTCCAGACACCCACGTCTCGCACGTGGCCATGGTGGAGACGGCTGGCGGCAGACGGCAGAAGGTTCACCGCACACGGACACGCCCAGCCGGGAGGAGGCCGCGCGCCTAGGGTGACGCCATGCAAGCTTGCCTGGCGACACTGGCGCACTAGCTCTGGTTAGCAATCAAATAGCGTTCAAATGCCCGCAAACAAAAACCATTCCTACCCGGAGGCTTTTGTTCACACAACGGTAGAATTCCGACGTCGCCAGGTTATTCAATACGCTAAAGGTCCGTTCATATCTCGCGGACTGGCTGCAGAAACGCTGCAGATTCTGCTTAGTTAGCTTTACTGCAGTTACTAGCTGTCCTTATTGGCTAACCTGCTGCAGTTATTAGCTTTTGCGGGTCAGGGTACCCCAGTCATCCCGCGCGCTCGCACTAAGGCGTTAAAAAGAGCCCAAAGGTGGTAACTGTTGCTCACTTTCGAGCTCTTTCTGCCGACGGCTTGTGGGCCTGCAAGCTTAAAATTGGCATATCTAGTTCGCGACAGCTGACTGGCTGCAGCGTGTGCAGGATTCAGCCAGTCCGCCAGGTGCGAAGGAGCAACCACCAAAAAGGCAGGGCCTGCTAATGTGGAGGTGCTTGCTTGGTAGACCACCACCAATGATACGCGTCACCTGATTCTCCGTGTCCCTGGGCTACTGCAGTGGCGTAGGACGTACCGTTCCACAAAACCCTGCTCCGAAATGGCGACCGCCAGGCGCGTTTGGTAGAACACGCTGCAGCCGTACAGGAAGAAGACGCACATCCCGGCCAAGAAGAGCAGGTAGTACACAAATACTTGTGGTTTCCGGCACCTGGAGCACGGCACGCACGTCAAACATCGCATTAGTTGTTAACATGTGATCTAACAGAAGACATGACTGATTGAGAAATTTTGATTTAATACTGTGTCGGCATCTCGTTTCGAACCACCATGGCATTTACGCGCACAGATTGTGAGTGGCAGAGAATGCCATCGATGGTAAAATATAAATGTCAATCCCAGGCAATGTTCCAAATTCACGGCTCACGTGCGAATTAAAACTGTGCTTCATTGCACCCGAAAGATGAAATGCGACAGTAAGCTATATGAGGGAGAAAAAAACAAAGAGCCGAGTCAGAACAAGAACAACATAAATCTCCAAAAGTATCAGTTCAAATAGCAAACCAATGCTAATTTGTGGCGTTATAACTTTAGTAAGGATAGTCCCGTACAGCTGAAACTGAAAGTGGTGAATGGCTAATTTCGGACAATCAACTCGCGTACGTAAACATGATGGCGAACAAGCAGAAGCGACACAGAAGAAGCAACAGAACAGAACAGAAGCCCGCCAGCGCCCGCACGCGTCACCCCTGCTGGCCGCCAATAGCGTGCGCCTCCAGCATCCATGACACGCACCGACACAGTTGTTGACCCAGGGGCAGTGGTGGTCGAACTTGGCCACGCAGCGGTTGCAGACGGAGCAGTGTTTGGAGCGGACCGGCCGGCGGATGAGGCACGTGCTGCAGAACTGCGCCATGTTGAAGCCCTCCGTCTCCGACAGTGACACGATGTCTGCAGAGGTGGAAGGCCTCGCCGGTCAGCGGCGGTGCCGTCGGGGCGGTGGGGCACCGGCCGAGCGTAGCTCAGCAACAGTCCCACGCGACAACTGCGGCCGCTGGGGGCGCTTCCGGACGCGGCGCGATAGCTCCCAAGCGATTACCCTGTCCAATTTTCGTTTCGATAACCAGAAAAGGCCGGCAACGTTATGTCAGATATCGTGGCACCGTTCTGCGCCAGCTGCGGAGTGAGCATCGTTGCGACTGGTGATGAGGGTACAGCTGCATCAAAAGTCACCCTGCCCAGCCGCGCACGCGCTGGGAGCGGGGGTCGCCTCGCCCGGAGCATCGCCGCCCAAACGGCTGAAGACGAGAGACCAAAGCCAGCCAGTCCACACCAGCCAGCCTGTCCGCGCAGCGACCAGCCGGCGCGGCCCTGCGCCATACTCAGGCCGCAGCGAGCCGTGGGCCAGCCGGCCGAGCGGCGTACCTTGCACTTGTCAGTCAGCGACGAGGTCATGTGGCCGGGGTCTCCCCGCCAGCAGCGCACGAACGCCCACCACAGCAGGGACGAGCAGGCGAGGAAGGCTAGCGTGGTGCTAGCACCCACGTACGGCTGCAGCCACACCACCCAGGTGATGTAGAACCAAATCTGAGGACAGAACAGCCCCAGGTGATGTAGGAGCACGTCTAAAGGAGCTGGGAGAACTGGGTGATGAATGGAACACATCCCAGTGATGTAAAGCCAGAGTTGAGCGGAGACAACACTGTGGTGACAATGAAGTACCACATCTGATGGGACGTACGGACAACCAGGAATGTACGGAACAAAAACACCATAGTGATACAGTCATATCTGAGGGAGGGAGAACGCCGGGTGATTTAGAACCAGATCCCACGACAAAAAAAAAACACCCAGGCAATGCAAACCCGGTCGGAGGGAAAAGAACAGCACCCAAGCGATGTAGAATCGGATCTGAACAAAGAGCAATGCTCAGATAACATCGACCAAGTCTGAGGAAAAAAACGTCCAGGAAAGATGCACAGTCATATCTGACGACAGATTGCAACGCCCAAGCCGCACATAACCACATATGATGTGAGACACAAGCACCAGGTGATGTTATAGGATTGTGATAAGTGGGACTGTCGTGTGCGCAGACAGCTGCGGTCGTACGGGACCACACGTGAGGGTAGAACACGGCGGTGATACGGGACGGGCGGAGAGATCTACGAGATGATACTCGTACGTCCAGCCGACGTGTGCCCGGATCTGGGGATCTGGATCTGTGGGGAAGCCGGATCGCGGAATACCCAAAACAACGCCGGGGGGGGGGGGGACGGGGGCTGATCTGAAGGATAACTATGCCCACGCGATCTGAGGCGTTGGCGGACGGAGCGCTTAGGTGGTGTAGAGCCAAACATTACGGCAGAAAAAAACCAGCAACACCACTTAGGGCCCGGGTTGAGAGCAGCGCAGACCCGGATGGCGTAACAACGCTGCCAGCTGGCCGACAAGCCGGTGGCGTAGAGCCATCTTCCATCGAAAGTTCGATGGTAGAGGCTATATTAGAAACAACAGCGAAGTGTCAGAAGCACGAGGATGGTGGCTGACCAAACACCGGACGTCCGCCGCTTGCAGAAACGGGAGCAGGGGGCGCCACGAAACACGAGAGGAATCCGGCGTCCGCCTCCTCCCATAAAGAACAATACGGCCGAGAGGCTCGATGGCTCTGAAGGCGCCGGGCGCCGGTCCGCACCAGGCGGCGCGTCCGGTACGGATCACCAAGCTGCCCGGCAAATGTACTCTTCAGCCCTCGTGCTGCGCACGCGTGTTGACGTCATTTAGCCAGGGAGACAAAGCGACTAAAGCATTCTTGACAGTTATGAATTGCTCTATTAACCATGCAGATGATGGCTACTTCACCCACTTTGTTCGTTGTCACGCACGGTGATGCACTTTATGTATTCACCGATCACTCAAGTGTGTCTCTTCGCCACCCAGCTTGTGTGCAGTACCTCATGTGGATAAAAGCCTAGCATTGGGCGTGGCCAGCTCCCAACCAGAGTCGGGAGCCTGTGCAGGGCACGCGGCCCGACCGAAGACCGCCGCCGGTGATCAGTGACCGTTATCCAGGTCATCACTCCCTGCCTACTGACCTTGGTGGCCAGGTATATGGCCATCGGCAGCGTCTCCATGAAGTCCTTGTTGAACAGGGCCTGTCCGTAGAAGTGGCACACGATATAGACGCCAACCAGGCAGCCCAGCTTGACCAGCACGTCCATCTCCAGGCGAAGATCTGGCCGACCGCGTAGAACACCAGCAGAGGTAAGCTCATCTCCGCCCAGTACTGCACCTTCTGCAATCAGCGCCAATGGCGGCAGAGGTCAAGTGTGGGCCGCCTGCATGTGCCATGGGTGTGCGTGCGGACAGTTCACATGTCAAATGGTTACCAGAGCAAGCGCCTCAGAACTTCAGAAGCTCCAAAGTAAGGGTCACAAAATGCAATGAACACTGCCGATGCGCCGGACCCGTATTCTGCCCGTGACGCCTAGACTGCACGCTCCAGCTGAATCCTGCCGCTAGCAGAGGCAGAACGCTCCGTGGCAGCGCTGTTGGCCGTGGCTGCGGCCGACTCTGGGGTCCAAGAACGCACCGCATTGCTGGTGAACCGCTTGCAGACGTTGCGGCGCGACTGGCCGGGCTGCTCGAGCGAGGTGAGCCACTCCTGCCCATCCACTGCACCTGGTGTCGCTGCGCTATGTCGTGCGCCGTGGCTCCCTGGCGGCATAGAAACACTGGCTGCCGCAAACCGAGGCCAACGCGCCATGCGGCAGTGCACGAGACACTGTCCGCTGACAATACAGGATCAGTATGCATTACCTATGTCAATCTTCATCTCAAGCTCGGAGCTAAGTAAGTGATTAGGCTAATAGGAAAAAAAACACGTGGGGACCCGTTCTGACCACACCAAAACGGGTGCGTCCTACTTACGGGTGAAGAACGGTGTCCATGACTGAGTATAGGTGGCGCTGGACATTGGGGACAGCCACGGCGTTTACACCCATACGTAAATTAACAACATTATTTGCAGACGTAAGTGTGAAAGTGACAAGAACCTCTTACGTAAAACGATTTCGGGCATTCCATCACAAGTGTATCAGTGTGCCCCCAATGTGTCACGAATGGCACGCACATGTGACGTTCGTGAAGGACCAGTTTTCATTCATTCCTATCACCACTCACTACAGAAAGACTCGTGCAGCAGTTAGCCATCGAGCGGTGCCACTGTTCGCCGCTCCCCTCTTTGTTCCCAGCAAGCCACAAGCTAGACGACGCTGACTGCCCCACACTCCCGGCCATCTGCTCGTTTCTGTCTCTGTGATGGCTCACCTGTTTGTTCTTGATGCTGATGCCGGCGCCGGCTGGCCTGTGTCGGCTCACCTGTTTATTCCTGACGCTGGTGTCGGTGCCGGCTGGCCTGTGCCGGCCCACTTGTTTGTTCCTGACGCTGGTGTCGGCGCCGGCTGACCTGTGCCAGCTCACCTGTTTGTTCCTGACGCTGGTGTCGGTACTGGCTGACCTGTGTCGGCTCACCTGTTTGTTCCTGACGCTGGTGTCGGCGCCGGCTGACCTGTTTGTTCTTGACGCTGGTGTCGGCGCCGGCTGGCCTGTGTCGGCTCACCTGTTTGTTCCTGACGCTGGTGTCGGCGCCGGCTCACCTGTTTGTTCCTGACGCTGGTGTCGGCGCCGGCTGGCCTGTGTCGGCTCACCTGTTTGTTCCTGACGCTGGTGTCGGTGCCGGCTGGCCTGTATCGGCTCACCTGTTTGTTCCTGACGCTGGTGTCGGTGCCGGCTGGCCTGTATCGGCTCACATGTTTATTCCTGACGCTGGTGTCGGCACCGGCTGGCCTGTGTCGGCTCACATGTTTGTTCCTGACGCTGGTGTCGGTGCCGGCTGGCCTGTGTCGGCTCACCTGTTTGTTCCTGACGCTGGTGTCGGTGCCGGCTGGCCTGTGTCGGCTCACATGTTTGTTCCTGACGCTGGTGTCGGTGCCGGCTGGCCTGTATCGGCTCACCTGTTTGTTCCTGACGCTGGTGTCGGTGCCGGCTGGCCTGTATCGGCTCACATGTTTGTTCCTGACGCTGGTGCCGGCGCCGGCTGGCCTGTGTCGGCTCACCTGTTTATTCCTGACGCTGGTGTCGGCGCCGGCTGGCCTGTGTCGGCTCACCTGTTTGTTCCTGACGCTGGTGTCGGCGCCGGCTCACCTGTTTGTCCCTGACGCTGGTGTCGGCGCCGGCTGGCCTGTATCGGCTCACATGTTTGTTCCTGACGCTGGTGCCGGCGCCGGCTGGCCTGTGTCGGCTCACCTGTTTATTCCTGACGCTGGTGTCGGCGCCGGCTGGCCTGTGTCGGCTCACCTGTTTGTTCCTGACGCTGGTGTCGGCGCCGGCTCGCAGCAGCGTCTGCACCGCGCTGACGTTGCGCGCCGTGACGGCCCAGTGGAGCGCCGTGTTCCCGTATGTCTGGTCCTGCAGGCAGGTGCTGGCGCCGAACGTCAGCAGCAGCCGCGTCGGGTCCATCCTGCCTCGGCAGACCCGTCAGGTCAGACGCCTGGCCAATGAATCACCAACACAAGGGCCGCGCCACTGGCAAAACGGCTCATTCTACCAGAGAATAGGGTTCATGGCAATTTTGGGAAACGCCGTTCATTGTGATTGGTACAAGCATAGCCACATGTTGGCGGATGCACCAATACATCCAAAATATGAAACGCACAAATACGTACAAATGATATATCAAGGTGGTAGTGCGCGGCCCCCAAAACATAAATTCATGAACATCAATGGCCGCGAACAAAACAAACAGGACCCTGGAAACCATGGGCAACACGGAACATCCCAAGCAGATGCTGGTTTATCCTCTCCCGCACCCAAGCGGTGACCGTGTGATCTGGCCCGGCGCCGCAGTTCGCCCCGCACGCCGCCGCGGCCGTGCGGCCGTGCGGCCGGCCCGCCGGCGCACCCACCCGGTGGTCTTGTAGGCGCTCCACATGAGGGCCGTCATGCCGCTGTCGTCGGGCGCGTTGACGCCGGCGCCGCCCGTCACCGCCAGCAGGTAGGCCACGATGTTGGTGTAGCCGCACTGGGCCGCCACGTGGATGCAGGCGAAGCCCTCCACATCACGGATGGTGGGGTCGGCGCGGTGTCGGATCAGCAGCACCACCATGCTCAGGTGGCCTTGCCTGCGGCGGCAGCGGGCGCGTTGTGACCGGAGGCGCCCCGCTGGCACGGCTCACTCGGATGGAAAACGGAAATATCCAACCATCTGACATGGCTGGTTCGACTGCGATGAGGTCGTGGTAACACGCCGACATTTCCAATCTAGTTGTGGACTCAAAGAAGGCATAATGCAGAAGATTTTTGGCAATGCATCGAAATATTAAAAAGCAACTTCCAGTGGAGCACATCCATTTCAAACACAAGAAGCGATAGGAAAATCATTGAAAGCCCTGCTGCGTCCTCTCAGCTTTTACCGCAACCTCTGTTACCTGGTACACAAATAATATCGCATTAGTGCTATGGCATTTTGCTGTTGACCCGGACATGTGGTGACCATTTCCAATCACTAGTGCCTACCAGAGACGTTCCCAACGCATGTTCACAAAGCCACCCCCGGCGATCCGGTTTTGGAGCAGTACTCAGTGGAGCAGTTCCCTGCAGGTGCCAGCCACGGCGGAGCGTGCGGCCCGCACGGCGAACGGCACCGGCGCCCACCTGACAGCCCAGTGGAGCGGCGTGGAGGCGAGGTCGCCACCGCGCGCGTCCACCTCCGCGCCCAGGCCGATGTAGTACGACGCCAGCGGCATCCGGTTGTTGATGGCGGCCCAGTGCAGCAGCGTGACGTCGATGTTGTCCCTCCGATTGACGTCATAGCCGTCGTCGATCAGCTGACGGCATCGCTCCAGCACGCCGTACTGCAGACGGGCGCCGAGAGGCCGCGCACGGACGTCAGCGTGTGGTCGGTATCGGCGTGCATTCCACATACTTGGTTTCAGTCGGACAGCAGGTGGTTCAGGGAGCTCGTTGCAGAGCTGTTTTTGGGAGCTCCGGAAATCTAAGGCAATTCAAACACAGCCTTACATAGCCTGCTACTATTTAGCTGAAAGCAGAAATGTGTGAATATAATGATGCATGAGAACAGGCCCTGCTACATTTGGGTATAGGAAATACACACCAGCAGTATGAGGCAAAGTACACCCTGGTTGATAAACCTGAATAGGATAATGTCAGAAAGTGCTAAATGAAGAGGGTGAGGGGGGGATGAGTCATCTCTTTTGCACAAACTTTCAACTTGTTTTGTGAGGCACAGTGCATGCTCCCACTGTGCAGCACTTCTGACAAATGGTACATACCTGAGTGGCTTTGACAATGTCATATTGGGATTCCTTGCTGGCACCCACAGACTCAGTGGTAGCTCCAGAGGCATGCCCATCTGGCACGTCACCTCCAGCATGAGACATGATGTCAAAGTGACTTTTTAAAGATCAGCTTGCTCAACACCATTGAAATACCAGATTGGAGGCAGATCACCTGAAGGCAGATAACACACAGTTTCACTCTGGGCCTACCTTACAGCATGGGACATCACCCAGATTGCTCACTTTCAGCTATTAACTGGAAGCAATCCTGAAGTCCAACGGCAAAAAGGCCCAAGAGCCAGTAATTAGCATGCGTTCGGGTGCGGCGGGGTTGATTTGCCCCCCCCCCCCCGAAGGGCTTTTCCGGAACAGTTTCGGAACGGCAGGGCTTAGCTACCCCAGATTTTGCACAGCTGTAGACAATTTAATAGCAGGTTGCTTGGGATCAAAAATTTACGTCTACCTTGCAATGCCGCTGATCTACGGCAGGTCGAAGTCAGGTCATGTATTCAGAAGGCATTTTCCAGGGAATCATTCAATCTAATGCAACACTAGAGAGTTAGACAGAGCCATACATCTTTGAGATACTTTCTTTGGAAACCCAACAATTGGAGGAACAAATTCCATTGCCCTAGGGTCAGGCATGCAGGTCAGACCAAGGTCAAAGCCTATCTGTTTTATTACTCTAGAGCTTGCTGTCTGAGGTAGTTTGTGGTGCTCATTTTGAATTCATCGATAAGAGGAATTGCATTATATATCTCCATGGACTTGTTTGAGGTCAGCCAAGGTTACTGACCTAATATGACCCACATCAACATTTTATTCAGGAATATGCTGCCTAGCATAATATCTGTCACTTATTCAAATACAACACTCAAAGCAGTATTGTATGATTTGTCACCATGACCTTTGAAAGATCTGACAAGGTCATTGACCTTAAATGAGCATGCAACCATTTGCTTAGAACAGGTACTTAGGTTCTGGGGGCATTAAAGACACCAACCTGGAGTTTGGCCCTATTTGACCTGAAGATCATGGCCTATAAAGCTCAAACCTTGGCACTAGTGAGTTCATGTATGGGCCAATACACCCTGTGAATTTGGTGTCTCTAGCTCTTAGTTTCTGAAATCTCAGAGGGGAGGGGAGGGCACACTGACCCCCATGCAAGGGCATCTGACCCTAAGGGTATCCAACCACCCACTGGGGTGTGTATTAGCATAGCATTTGGGCCTTCTGCCTTTGCATGGCAGAGCTGGGTCCTACCAATTATCTGAGGAGTTCAAATAATATTCTCAGGATCAAATATAGCATTTGTGATCCCAAACTGACCACAAAAGACCATGGAGGACAGATGAGGGATGCAAGTTTCTATCCCATTCAATGTCAGTGACCCAAATAGCATTGCAAGCATAACATTTGAGTGCATGGCTGGAGTTATGTATGTCTTATACCTACTGGTAATTTACACAGATGAGTTCAGAAAATGTGCTTAAAGGATACATAAAATGGGCTTAGAAATTTAGCTTAACCTCACTGACATCAGCACATGTCAATGATGTGGATGTTGATGGTGACACAGTTTGCAAGTGGTGTATATACATACATAATGCAATATAAAACCATTTGCATTGCAATGCAACAAAGACTACCCATCTGCACATTATGCATGCAGGGGGAGATGGTTTCAATGGAGCATCTAGAGGCCCTTGGTCCTCTATTTGCTTCATACCTCTGGCTCAATTTCAGGTCAAATGGACATCACTTTTTGGGATGTTGCACCTAAAACAGTCCACACAGGGGAAAGGCAGGTGCCAAGAATTATGAGTGTGCAACAAGGGGGAAGGAATGTTGAAAAAGGCCAAAAATTGCATCATAATTTATAGATTGTCTGGTTTTCCAACATCACTACTACCATATTGTACATTTCCAACACCATTCCCTACCAGCACTGGTATATTTGAACTCAGAGCTCAAAAGAAAAACAAAAACTAATAACTTGTTTCACAGCACATTCTGTTATGTCCAATATCCTGCTTGGTGAAACCAAGCCTGCAATATATTTTTTAACAAAGTGCACAGCATTACAAATATACTCATCAAAAGTGAGCATGATATATTTTGTCATGGAATTATCATGGTAAACTAAAATATCCTGGGACATATTTCAACATAAATAATAACTTGGAAATCCAGCACAATCTGACTATATCTGGGTTTTGCACACACAAAGCCAAGGTTATGTGTACCAATACATGTAGGCATTTGGTAAGGTGGATTATTTTTCTCATGTTGGTGCGCAGTCACCATACATTCCAGTTAGCATATGTATGCTTACATGGATCACATGGATAATTATGCTGTGCATGATTTCATGCAGATGGAGTCACTGAAAATGTCAGCCAACATGAATGATGAGCTATCAAATAACTGGGTTCTAAAAAAAATTGAGCCAGCATGTCTCCATAACAAACTAAAAGTTAGGAAAACAGAGGTTCCAATAACAGGGTGAGTGATTCAGTCAGACCCCCTGATGAAGATGGCCAAGTCTTTTATTTCCTTCTTTGAATGAGCACAGCAAAGCATGACAAAACTAAGGGGCTGTGATTGGCAGAATGGGAAGTAATATCTTCTATGCAGCCTTATCCTCATTTGGGGCAGCATCCATAATCTTAACTGTTTTCAATAACAATGCTAAGAACCAACGGGCCAACTTTTAAGACCTGGGCACAAGCATGGTGTATTACGGTTTTCATCACTGAACGCATAGTTTTTTAGATATTCAAAAGGATTGTACGCCAACGGCGGGTCTCGACTACAAGTAAGAGAACTGGGAGGGGCACCAGCCAACACACGTATTTAGATAGATAGAGCACCCAAACTGCGCCTGGGCAAAACACGCACATCGGATCCCCACCGGTCATAGAGCGGCGGTCACTACTCCGCCCACCGCCGCCCGGACACGGGCCCCTATCGCTCAATAACGCATACAAACGCAGGGCCCTGTAGCTCATAGGCGCAGACGCACACACACACAAACACAAACCTAACAGCGCTAAGATCGGTATTAGTGCGGCATGAATGCCGGTCTGGGGGTGAATACTTCAGAGGTGCAAACCCAGCGAACTTTGCGCCAGCCACCGGAGTGCGGCTTACAGAGGTATCAATGCAGGACACAGGGGCTTAGCTTTCAGAACCATGGTTTCAAATATGTTTTCAGAGGAGCGGACATGGTAAACCGTGCTTTAAAATACACAACGGATTTCTCCCGGATGACACATTTTTATAGTCGGGGGACGATGCCCGAGCCGCCCCAGCTGAAGACTTACAGTTGGTACCCTGTTCAACCGTGGTACGTCAACCGCCGCTTCTTATACCCATACCTGCGTGTGATGTATACCGTCACATGGTTGTTTGGGTGGTAATGCCGTGCCTCATCATTTTGGTATTCCATCTCGATCCATCTGCATAACGCGAATGTTTCAACTATCGGAGACGTACGTGCGTAGCCCCACAAGAGCAGAGCAACCAGGAAGCCATCGCCCCGCCTCGTGAGTGCCCCTATGAGGATACATGGGGGTACATGGGAATAATCGACTTCAAAATTGACGTGCCCCCCCCCCCCCCTCTGGACGTCTACATACCTGTGGAACTGTGCGCGATGCGTACTTTATGCTGTGCTTTCGGCGGCGTTATGCCGAAGCCTTAGACAAGACGTGAGGCCCAAAAGCGCAAATGAACGAGCGAACACAAACGAAACGAAACGAACTAGACTGAACAACGGGTGGCAGCGCAGACACAGAGGAACCACCAAGAAATGGGGGGACAAATCTGAATTTGTTTGCAGCGTGCAGCACCACGTGCTAAAGCAAAATTGGCCAAAATGGAATAAACGCGTGCTGCGTCCACTCTGGCGAACTTCCCCTGTCTTTACAACGGGCAGATCATGAGCTTGTGCGGGAATGACCCAATTTATTACAGATGCTGGATCAGGAAGCACCACCCCACTGGGGCAGGCCTGAGGAGGGGTTCGTGGCGCAACTATAGCTGCTCCTGGTACACATGAGCTGCCCGACAAGGTATGTTCGTTCTACCCGGGACAGGGCCTGTGCAGACCTCTGCCATCAGCAGTTATGCAATTCACAAACGAAAAATGGCTTCACGGCGTGCTCATTCCACCGTTTAGCAAAATGCAGACATACCTCGCCAGCAGGTATAGCACGAGAACGTCCAAAACGCATCACGACCTTCC